TTGTTTGTCACCATCATTGAGATTCAAAGACTAATTGTTGATGTCTGTGTGTTTTTGAGTTCTGCCATAGATCAAACATTCTCATTGTAAATATTGTTTTATTTTATTGGAGCTTCAGTGGTTTCATTTATGTATATTATTTATTTCTCACACATAACTAATATGATATTGAATTAGAAAACAAGCAGGACAGGATGGCTATGTTATCATTAATAATCGCTTCAGACTGACACTTTAATTTTCTTTCGGCTTTCCATGCTATATGTTTAAATAGTGTAATTAACACTATCTATAGCAGCTAAAATAAAAGACTTTTATGGTAAGAAGTTGAAGAGCTTGACTAAAGCAGACTCTGTCCTCCATCATGGTGACTTCAAATGAACAACAGAAATTTCATTAAGAGCTTTTGTTCACATGACAGAAATAAAGTCACTGGTCAGTAATAGGTGAAGCTCCATGATAAGTTGTTTAATTTGATGAGTTTTTTTAAAGATGTTGAAAAATAACATTTTTTATTGTGTAATTTGTTTTATTTTTATTGATTATTATTTTATTTAAAGTTTTTTTTTTCTCAGTTGATTTCATCTTTGGTTTTGGCTTGTGTTTTTCAGTCCTTCAGTGATTCTGCTTGTTAACAGTTGTTCATCAACAATTCTCAATCCTCCTTTAATTAGACACTTAATTATCTCATTAACTTCATCACTGTCTAAGTGTTCAGCCCTCTGTAGTGAGGACACTAGTTAGGATTTTGCTGTGGAATTTAAGGCTTACGTGTGTTCGAATGAAAAATACAGACTATGGGATTTGTTTTTAACAGAAATATTCTGGAAACTGAATTTACGAATGTAAAATGTTGAAAACAGCAGATTACTGGCAACCACTGCTGCCAGTATTTTGACATACATTTAACAGATATTTTACACAATAAGAGTTTGCTAATTAACACTCTGGGTGTTAAAAATTTTAACACTTTCAAAAATGTTATTTTAACACTTATAGTGGTTCCCATATAAACACTGAGGGAGTGTTAATTTTAACTCTAAGGTAGTTAAATCTACTAAATCTAAAATTTGCAGTGTGAGATTGATAAAAAATACAGACTGTTGAATGTGTTTTTAACAGAAATATTCTGTAAACTGAATTTATGAATGTTAAAAACAGCAGATTACTGGCAACCACAGCTGCTGGTATTTTTCCGTAAAATCTAAAAATGAAAAAAAAAAAAAAAATGAAAAACAGCTAAACAGTTTTTGTGTCACCATTGTGGAGGATAATAGCGTCTCTGTTCAAGTCCAAGATGAACTGAGAGTATTTGATGTTATGCTGCATCTTCTTTTGTTTAAAGGTAACTGTGTAGTTACTAATGCAGTCAAAATCTGTTTGCTAATTGCAATCACACATGAAAACATTATTGCATCTAAAGACTTTACATTTTTTTTGCAATAAGCTATGATTTTATAAACCAAACATTGTATTAGTTCATGAAATATGGTTATTTTTTGTAAATTTATACAGTTCTATAAAACTTCCATGTTTTTCACAGAAAGATTCTGGCAACCACAGCTGCTGGTATTTTTTCGGAAATTTAACAGATATTTTACACAATAAGAGTTTGCTAATTAACACTCTCTTGGCGTTGACAATGTTATCACTTTCAAAAGTGTTATTTTTAACACTTATAGTGGTTCCCATATAAACTCTGAGGGAGTGTTAATTTTAACTCTAAGGTAGTTAAATCTACTATCTAAAGTTTGCTGTGTATTTGCTGTGTAAAACATATGCTGGAATAATTGCCGGTTCATTTTGCTGTAGGAACCCCTGATAAATCAGGGACTAAGCTGAAGGATAGTGAGTGAGATAGGTAGGTAACTAGTCCTCTCATACTATTGATACAATATTATAAACTAACCTACATTTCCAATTTGTATGTAAAATGTTTGTTGCCAATTTTATGAAAGTAGCCAAGCAGCATCATGCCCTGTAATACTGTACAACATTGCTCATAAAGTCGGCTCATGTATCATCATCCTGACGCAAACTCACAGCGTTCAGCATCAAGTTTTGTGGCCGTTAGATCAAAAACATCAGCTGCTACTCACGTTCATACACTCTAATGATAATTCTGTAGGCCTGTCTGTCTTTATAAATAATGTTTATATATATATATATATATATATATATATATATATATATATATATATATATACACACACATACAGGGAAATACTTTTTAAAATAGTTTTTGTTTATTATTATCTTAATAAACAAAATGATAACAATAATTTTCTGTAGCATCTTTAAAAGTTGCATCTCAAAGCACTTTTCAAAATAAAGTGAAACAGATACATAAATAACAGAAATAAAGAAAATAAATAACGAACACACAGAAACCACACATGTAAGAACAGTATCCATCTGAAAATGCAGGATTGCAATCATTCAGCAAAGCCTTTATTAACAAGGTAAAATACTTGTATTTTTGACCAGTCTGGTGAACAGTTTAAAGCTATTAAATCTTTAAAAGGGCTTAAAATAGTTAAAATCCTCTTTGCAATGTCAGTGTACAGCAATAGTTTACAGCAGTGTATAGATTTACTGTTGTAGTTGGTGCTACAGTGCACGGTGCTCAGCTATAGCACTGAGTAAATAAGTAGAGCAATGACCAAGCAGTAATCTCCCACTCTCCCTCATGAAGCTAACACAGAAGTACCTGAAACTGCAATTCATGGAAATCCCACTACTCACGGCTCCTTAAAGAGCAGATTTCTATTGAGCCCACTGTTAAAATGGCCGACTTTACAGCAGAATAAAGGTGTTTTGGTTCATATGGTTAATATTAGCCTTCATGATAACTGTGAGGGGGGTGATGTTTCTTATGACTCATCTGTTTTTCTTTATTTATTTATTTTCCTTTATATTAAGTCTGCATAATTATGGGCATGGCCACTTGAGTGACAGCTAGGTCTTGCTGGTCGCCGTCTCCTCACCTCAGCTGATTCCGGCTGATTACCCGCTGAACTCGATGTATTTTTGTGTTGTTTATGCGGCTTTACACAGTCAGTTGCCTTTTGGAATTGTCTCCTACAAGAATCAGATGATATGGCATGCTGTGTGCACTTCACAAACCGTTCATGTGGCCTCCGTTTCCCAGGTGAATGAAATATTTTATACATCATCTCTATAAATTTATTTGTTTTGTATAAGATCATTCATCATTTAAATGCTCTTTAGAGCTGTAATGCGCTCCAGAATCTGTCAGATTGATTAATTGCAGGCTCTAGATCAGTCATCTGAAGTGTTGTCATACAGTGTTATGCTGGAGTTCATCAATAGTCTTGTCTTCTTGTGTTAAGTCTTGTGTCCTTTATTTGTCCTTTGTTTATATGGTGCACGCTTGTTCAACACTTTGGTAAACACTTGTTGTCTTTAAAAGCGCTTTATAAATAAACATTGTCTTGACTTGACATTGAATTATTAATCCTGCCTGTTTTTTGAGCACTGTTGAGCGAGTTCTTAAACACCTGTGATTGGTCATTGTGTTCCTCTACAGAAATGATGATGCTGATGACTGCGCTGATCACAGCTGATCCATGACAGACGCAGTGGAGAAAACTCGTTCTACAGACAGCCTGGATCCACAAGTATCACCGATAGCTTACATTTAAATAGATTTGTCTTTTTTATTCAGAGTCAACTCATAGATATAATCATATAATCATTATCAATGTGCAGAAATGAATAAAATTAAATCCCTGCAATTTTTTAGTTTATTCTTCTTCTGCCAATCTACTGAAAGGGGCTCCACATTTGGTAACACAATATGTAACTGTCTGTAGTTAGAGGAGAATCACTTACCTCAGTGTCTCCAGTTTACAGTTCACAGTCTTCAGTCCATCAGAGAACTTCTTCACTCCTGAATCCTGCAGGTCATTGTTACTCAGGTCCAGCTCTCTCAGCGCACAGTTTGAGGATTGTAGAGCTGAAGACAAACTCTCACAACACTGAACAGTGAGATTACACCTGACCAATCTGAGAAAGAAGAACACACATTACCAAAAACCACACAGTTAATGTGATCTGACTGATGTAACAAAACAAAAAATCAATCAATCAATCAATCAATCAATCAATCAATCAATCAATCAATCAATTAGATGCTTAAACTCAGACCTCAGTGTGTCCAGTTTACAGTGTTGACTCTTCAGTCCATCAGAGAGCTTCTTCACTCCTGAATCCTGCAGGTCATTGTTACTCAGGTCCAGCTCTCTCAGCACACAGTTTGAGGATTGTAGAGCAGAAGACAAACTTTCACAGCACTGAACAGTGAGATTACACATGGTCAATCTGAGAAAGAAGAACACACATTACCAAAAACCACACAGTTAATGTGATCTGACTGATGTAACAAAGCAAAAAATCAATCAATCAATCAATCAATCAATCAATCAGATGCTTAAACTCAGACCTCAGTGTGTCCAGTTTACAGTGTTGACTCTTCAGTCCATCAGAGAGCTTCTTCACTCCTGAATCCTGCAGGTCATTGATACTCAGGTCCAGCTGTCTCAGCACACAGTTTGAGGATTGTAGAGCTGAGGACAAACTCTCACAGCACTGAACAGTGAGTTTACAGCTCTGTAGGCTGTGAAAGAAAGCAGAAATATTGATTTTGCATTCATCTAGCAGGGGTAATCCAAAGCAGAGACAAAAACAATTGAATGGTGTGTATTAGTTTGAGAAAAGATAAAAATCGTTATATGGACTCTGTAAATAGTGAATTTTAGGGAGAATCATTAAAGCTCTCTCAGCACACAGTCTGAGGATTGTAGAGCTGAAGACAAACTCTCACAAGAATTGGCAGTGAGTTTACCCTGGACAAATCTGAGATATAAGGATTTGAATCAAATTTACAGTGTAATTTTTAGAAATTTATCTAATGTAAATAATATTTATAATTAATCAGTCAGTCAATCAATCAATCAATCAGGTGTTTGTGTTACATATTTAGTTGATCATTATCTTGAGTTTAATTAGATTAATGTGTTCATTATACAAGTAATACTTAAAGAGCGCAGGTCACTTTAAGAGTTTGGACAGACAGGATCACAAGTTTTTGTCAGAGTGTGACTTTTGTGGAACAGGAAAGAGAAGTACAACAATAGAAGTAAAACAGTTCTAGTACATTTTGTGTAATCTTTACGAACATAACAGTTTGAACTCAGACCTCAGTGTCTCCAGTTTACAGTGTTGACTCTTCAGTCCATCAGAGAGCTTCTTCACTCCTGAATCCTGCAGGTGATTGTTACTCAGGTCCAGCTCTCTCAGCACACAGTTTGAGGATTGTAGAGCTGAAGACAAACTCTCACAAGAATAAGCAGTGAGTTTACACAGGACAAATCTGAGAAATAAGAAAACACATCAAATTTACAGTGTATTTTTGTCATTCATTTCATGCAAATAATAATTATAATCAATCAGTCAATCGGGTGTTTGAACTCAGACCTCAGTGTTTCTAGTTTGCAGTTTGGTCTCTTCAGTCCATCAGAGAGCTTCTTCACTCCTGAATCCTGCAGGTCATTGTTACTCAGGTCCAGCTCTCTCAGCACACAGTTTGAGGATTGTAGAGCTGAAGACAAACTCTCACAGCACTGAACAGTGAGTTTACAGCTCTGAAGGCTGTGAGGGGAAAAGAGAAATAATGATTTTGCATTTATCTATTAATCCAGAGCAGAGACAAAAACAATTGAATGTTGTCTTTTAGTTTGAGCAAAGGTAAAATCACTATAAGGACTCTGTAAATACTGAATTTAAGGGATAATCCAAGGCTGTAAAATAAACATAAAATTATTCTTTAGCTAACAATTGACAGTTTTGTGTGATAATTAATTATTAGTTATCATTATTAAATACTTTTTCCAAACTCATGTTAACATATTAGAGTTATCAGTTTTTAAAGGTGAGATTATATTATTGTATTGTGTAAAAAGAGAGTCAAAGTATTGAAAAGAATGTCTGAAAGTGGAGTAAACATAAGCAGAACAGATATTGTGTACAGCAGGAGATCAGTGATACATGTTTGATGTGAAAGCACAAATAGTCTGTGCTGTTTCTGCTCTGCATGTATATGACTCATGGGCTGCAGATGTGTTGCAAATTGATGTGTGAAATGGGCATAAGTGTATCCAGAAAACTCTTACAGTGCTCTTCTGGTGTTCTTGACCACTGGCATCAGTCTCATCAGTGCTTCATCAGACCTTCTGTACTTCTGCAGTTCAAACTTCTCTTGAGTCTCTTCTGACATCAGGAGCACAAACACCAGACCCGACCACTGAGCAGAGGACAGATCCTGTGATGTGAGATTTCCAGAGCTCAGACTCTTCTGGAGGTCCTCCACAAAGTCATCCTTCAGTTCATTCAAACAGTAGAAGAGGTTGATGGTCCTCTCTGCTGATTTCTCCTCCTCTATTTTCTTTTTGATATAGTCAGTCGTGTCTTTGATGTTCTCAGTTTCGAGCTTCAGTTCTGGCAGGAACTTCTTCAGAACACTCTGATTAGACTCCAGAGAGAGACCCAGCAGGAAGCGGAGGAAAAGGTCCAGGTGTCCGTTCTTGCTTTGTAAAGTCTTCTTGACTGCAGCCTTATGAAGTCTAAACAGGGTCTTTGTAGAGAGTTTCCATGCCAGTTCCTTTTTCCTGGAATCAAGAAATGGATTTGCTTTCTTGTCTTTGTAAGTGAAAAACACATAGAGAGCAGCAATGAACTCCTGAACGCTGAGATGAACAAAACTGTACACCTGTTCCCCTGAAATGGGGTTTTCCTCCTGAAACATTCGAGTACATAATCCAGAGAACACAGACCCTTCCTTGACATCTAGTCCACACTTCTCCAGATCTGTTTTGTAGAAAATCAGTTGTCCTTCCTGCAGCTGTTCAAAGGCCAGTTTCCCCAGCTTCAGAACAATGTCTTCAAAAGACCAGGCCTTGGCTTCAGGTTCAGAATCGTTGCTGTATTTTTCTTTCATCTGCTGCTTTTGAGACAGTAAGTAGCTGCTGTACATCCCTGTGAGAGTTGTGGGTGTTTTTTCATTGCTCTCTTGACCCAGCAGAGGCTGAAGAACAGTGAGAGAGATCCAGCAGAAGACAGGGATGTGGCACATGATGTACAGACTCCTGGATTTCCTGATGTGACTGATGATGTTTCCAGCAACCTCAGGACTGCTGTTTTTGATGAAGTACTGCTCCTTCTGTTCATCATTGAATCCTCGCACCTCAGTCACCTGATCAATGTAGGTTTGGGGTATCAGACTAGCTGCTGCTGGTCTGGATGTGATCCAGATGAGGGAAGAGGGCACAAGCTCTCTCTTTAAGAGATGTGTTACTATCTTACTCACTGTCATTTCCTTATCAACATCTGTAAATCCATCCTCCTTTTTAAAGTTCAGTTCAAAGCGATATTCATCCAGTCCATCAAAGATGAACATGACCTTGCCTTGTTTTTCAGGAAGAGAGCTCAGTCCTCCACTGCTAAAGAAGTACTTGTTAAGCAGACCTATGAGACTGTACTTTTCTTTTTTAATCAGATTCAGTCTACGGAACGGCAGTGGAAATATGAAGACTATTTCCTGATTGTCTTTTTCTTCAGCCCAGTCAAGGATGAATTTGTTGACAGAGACAGTCTTTCCCACTCCTGCGATCCCCAGTGTCAGGACTCTTCTGTTTTGTTGACCTGTGTCAGGCTGAACTTTAAATATGTCGTTACACTTGAGTGGTTTATCCTTGGCTGTCTGTTGGTTTTGTTTTGACTCTATCTGTATCACCTCATGGTCATTCTCTCTTCCTCCAGTCTCGTTCTCCACCACATATAGATCAGTGTAAATATCATCCAGCTTCTTCTTACGACCTATCTGTGAATTACCAATCAATATCTGCTTATAGTCCTCCTTTAACTTCTCCTTTAGTTCACGGCTGGTGTTTGTGTAATCAACAGGAGGGGATTTACAGGTCTCTGAAGCTGCTCCTTCACAAGAGAGAGGAACAATTAGTGTTTTTATTAAAGTGAATTATAATTATGTCCTGTGCTTTCCAATACTAAAAAACAACAACAGCACTGATGAAGTCGTTTGTTTCATCATTTAAATGACGTGACACCTGTATGGTGTTGAATGAGCAGGGGTAGGTGATTTGACTTGAATCTTATATTGTATTGATGTAAATAAAGTTGATTACTCGGAGTAATTCAGGATGTTTCAAAAATAATTCTCCAGAATTACAGTGTGTCTATTACAGGTTTTTGAATTACTGCTGATCATTTGCTGTCTCAATGTTTCCTGACCTTTCAATTTATTTATTTATTTTTATTTTTCCCCACAGGAACAACTATCTGCAAACAAAACATGCACACAAATAAAGAGATATTTTATTTTTAAAAGAAAAAAATTATAGTTTTTGTCCCCAGAAAAAAGGCTCTTTCATTTGAAGAAGAAAAACTGCAGGGGCTCAAGCCCTGCAAAGCGAGATCCAAGGACAACTTCAATATTATTTAATACATGCACAGTGTGAGCCGGCTTTACAATGTGTTCTTGTTCAGGTAATGTTTATTATACAACTGATCTTTGTTCTTGTTTTCCTTTGCTCAACTCTATTTTCCATCATTGTTTATTCTGTCTGAGCAAATGAGTAGTAAATGATTGTTTTGATAGTTTTATCTGTGGAGGTCTGCTCTCTTTGTAAAGCATGAATTGTGTAAAAGGCTTGATAGAGATCTTGCAGTTATGATTCTGCTAATGCTCAGTTATTTTAACAGCCATGCAGACTCCTGATGACAGAAGCTGAGGGGCTACTTTACAGAAATCCAATTCTTACATAAACTTTAGTGAGAGTAGTATTCATTTATTAATTCAGTTTCTTTTCGGCTTAGTCCCTTCATTAATCTGGGGTCGCCACAGCAGAATGAACCGCCAACTTATCCAGCACATGTTTTACGCAGCTGATGCCCTTTCAGCTGCAACCCATCTCTGGGAAACATCCATACACACTCATTCACTACAAACATTACGGACAGTGTGAGCTGGCTTTACAATGTGTTCCTGTTTCAGAAATGTTTGTTTTACAGCTTATTCTAAGCTTCTTCATTCTTGTTTTACTTTGTTTATTAACATAGATATGTCTTGTGCTTCCCAATACAAAAATAACAATTGCAAATATAAAGTAACAAATTCAGATGAACGAAGATAAACAATATATTCACACACATTAGCTATATACAAAATATTAAATGTATTTAAATGCATTGCTTAGAAGCTGTTCAATAAATGTTATGACAATACATCTGACTCAAAAACCATTGCTAGGACAGGGTTTTAACATGAAAGATTTTAACTGAAAATGATCACATTTGTAAAGTTTGACTGGGAATTAAACAATACCTTGCTTCTGTGTATTCTCCAGCTCTTCAGCTAATTGATTCTGGTTTATTTTCCTCAGGGTGTCCACTGTGATCTTCACAGCTCTTTCTGATCCAAAACATGACAGCAACTTATCCACAGTATTTCGCCTGTCTGCATTCTCCATTTCAGCTTTTGAAATCTCTCTATGGTCATTCATTAAATGCCACTGAAAGTCCTTTAGTGTATCTTCTACCAGTTCATCCAGTGAGTTCTTGAGCAGCTGTTTAACATTCGCCATGGTGCTTCACCCACTCACAGCTACAGGACAAGAGCAACAACATCTGCATTAGTTTCACAATTAACATATGGACCTGAACATTTATTTATAAATTGAAAAAGGAAATTAACCAGTGAGAAACTTCACATATCAGAAAGCTAAATATTGAAAATTGATTGTCACTACTTAAAGTGGACTAAAAAAGTGGAATTATTGATAAAAAGTGAACACTGAAGAAACTGACGACTAATTTAATATAAAAGCTCTTGGAACGCAGTTGTACATGCTCAGAATCCTCTGAATCATGTTGTTTTTATTGTGACACAAATGGCCACCTATAGCTCAGTTTATGCTGTTTAATGCAGACATGGGAAAAGAACTGGAAGATCATTGCAGCAGCTTGAGAATGTACCTGGGTAGCAAGAATTATTGCCCAGATTTGGCTTACAGCATGTGGGGCAAACATTGGCCAGGTTTGGCAGAGGTGGCACCGTCTTTAAGGCAGCATGCAAGACATGGACCAGATGTCAAATGTAGTATTTGGGCCAGATGTTATTAATTGCAGTGCGAGTTTTCTGCATTCTGTAGCTTTTGTAAGGGCGCACACACACTATGCTATCCGAACTGTGCCAGGCCTGTTTCCCTGTATGTTTGAGAAGTTCAATGCTCTGAATCTGTTTGGCGAATTATTTGACTGTGTTCCTCTGCATATCCAAACACTAAAACAGTATAACTAAAGAAATGTCCACTGTGCTGAGCTTAATAAAAACTCATAAGCACAGATTTCAGTATCAGAATGAGAAGGTTTTTGCTTTCTATGATCCTCCTCCAGAAACACACTCGACATTAAAAGGTGTAAATGAAATCCTCAGAATGTCTTCAGCTCAGCAGTAAAGTCTCAGAAACACAAAGAGATGATCGACGGGTAATCAGACGACACTTATAGATGATATAAAGTAAAGAAAGAGCAAACT